TTTTTTTGACTGTCATAACACGCAATATATATATGTGCATACATATATTTATGTTAGGCAAATAAATATAAATGTATGTATGTATCAAAAAATTACAAATAAATCGCAAGCAAAGTAATCGCAGGAATATTGCACGGTTGAATGAGTGAACGCAATATTTTAATGCAAAACGAAAACATCAATTGCAGAAAGCAAAACCACAAACTAATGCACGGCAGCGCGAGTCAAGCAGGTTGTGTTCGTGCATTGTAATTTCCACTTAACCTTATTAAGTATCTAAATAAAATATGTATGTTACAACTAAATACATATGTATATTAGTACAAGTATGTACGTTTTTATGGACTTCTATGTATGTTTGTATGCATGACAACAGCATGGCAGTAATAACAATAACAGCAACTAAATAACTCGTGTGAAATAACCACTCACAAACAAATACAATATATATAAAATCACTTACTTACATACTTACTAATATGCATATTCAAGGAGAGGTAAAAGAGCTGAAGTAAACACGCTGTTAGACATTCAGTGTGTCCAAAGACACACAGCGGGGGAATTGCATAGAGAAAATCTGTTAAAATTTGAATTTAGCAAATGCTAACAGCTCTGTTATTGCTTATGAAGCGCTCTCGGCAGACGCTGTACTCAATTAAAGTGCGATAGGTTAACACACGCGACTTTTGAAATGCTTTTACGTACACATCTTATACAAACATACATATGTATATGTATATTATACATACTTACAGTTAGGCATATCAGGCAAACAAGCTAAAATCGAATTTGTACTCGCATTCTCAGCAAACGAACAGATGCCCAACTCGGGACAATCAGCTGTTTGACGCAGCGATCAGCCAGCTGTGCGTCACTACCCCTGAAAACGTCATATTTACGTTCAGAAGACGCTACTAATAGTTGTTTGGTCTCCGCCACAGCCGGTCAGGTAGCCAGAGGCAGTGCCATTAAGAGAGTGATACTCTCGACAGTAGCAGCACACACATATGGTATCCGTGTGATTTTGCTGTGGGAAAAGAGAAATGCTCTCCTGATACACTTTACCCTTTTGCTAAACAAAAGATTAACGATACAAAGTGTTGTAGCGCTCAATACGCTTAACGTGAATCTTTGTTGTTGTTTTTTGTGTATCGTATGTGAATGCATATCTGAGTACGCTAACATTTAGTTGATTTCCACGTTGTTTTTAGTGTATGAGTGATTAGCGAATAAAAATACTGCAAAAAAATTTGATAAACAATTTCGTTTATTCACCGCTGCTTAAGATGAATTGAATTTTTATTGTCACGTGTAAAAGCATTGACGTGTTGGCGATGACTATCTACGCAAATGATGAATATTTAACGTGACATCTCGGCATTGACTCAGTATTGGACTTGTAGAAATAACATGAATTCTTGTGTTTTGCCCTAGCTCCAATATTTATACATACATATATGTATGTAAATATGTAAGAACATGCGGTGCTATTATAACTGCAACAGTTCTGACCAGCTGGTATCGCTAAGACTTCGTCGGTAAAAAAATCGATTTGCAAGTGGTCTTCCGGTTTCCTTGAAACTGTTTGGGAGATAATAGGTTTATATTGAGTTACATTTTATCCTAAATGAAATGGCAGTCACTGCGCTATGTTGAAAATACCATCGGGTGTTACCTTTTTAAAAAAATTAATATCTCCGAAACTATTTGGTCGATTTTAATAAATTTTAATACAGACGAAATAGTCCTCTCTCTCTCTATCGTACTAAACTAAAATTATGTATGGACATATAGTATAAATCAAAGGTTATACCATACAAAATAAAAAGACTAAATAAAAGATGTGAACAGATGGGAAACAGGAAAAAACGTTAACTTCGATTGCACTGAACCTAGAATACCCCTCACAAATAAAAAAAATGTTTCCATACAAGAACTACATTTTGATCGGTCAGTTCGTAAAGCATCTATGTATGTATGTGCTGTAGTTGTCCGATCTCAAAATTTTCGGAGACTGTAGCGTTGCCTTAGAAAATAATCCATGCAATATTTCGTAACGATCTCTTGTCAAATAAAATAGTTTTCCATACAAGAACTTGATTTCGATCGTTCAGCTTGTATGGCGGCTATATGCTATAGTCTTCTTAAGGAGAAAGTGGCGTGTAAAAATTTTCAGGTCGATATTTCCAAAACGAGAGACTCGTTCGCGTATATATATACAGACAGACAGACGAAGACGTGACTCAGCTCGTCACGCTTATCATTTATACCATATATGAACATATTTTATAGAGTCTCCAACGTTTTTTTCTGCGTGTTATAAACGTGGCATATTTAATATACGTTCTTGAAGGTATTGTATAATAAGAATAATTAAAGAAATTTTTTATTTACTGTTCTTCGTTCGGTAAAACTAGGTTTACACATGGCAATTTTTTTTGACTCGTTATCGGGAAATTCCATTTTGGTGTTGCCCATTGTATTCACTCAGATTTTCTGCATTCCCTTTCAGATCATATTCTAATATTACATACCAAAAATAGACACTGAAATTTAAATTTTGGAACAAATTGTAAATATTAATTTAAAATCGACCGCAATCGCAACTATGGAATGAATTTCAAAACGAAAAGAAATTCCGATTTGCGTAGAAGCGAATTGTTATAAAAAAGAACTCAAAGCCCAAAAGGCACCTTCATCTTATCGACCATTGTTCATTGTAAGAAACCGCTTGGAGTTAGCAATCCAAAAAGCAAAAAAGAAAGGTTATCACTGCAGCTGAAGTATCTGGGAGTAATACTAGCCTCCAAACTCAAATTTAAGGAACACCTGGTGTATGTATACTTCCGGTAAAGCAAACAAAATATAATGCTCGACCGATAATATTGGCCAATAGAGGCTGCGCGCGTTCCAGCCGTCGATTTTTAATAACAAAAGCAATAAGTTCCGTGATATTTTATGCAGCACCAATATGTATACAAGCGCTACACATAAAATCATATGCTAGACCAATAAAAGCAGTGCATAAGTTTTCTCAAATCCGAGTAATAGGTGCTGTTGCTGAAGCTTTAGCCAGCATGCCTATTGACATCCAGGAGAACGAATTCGCGCACCTATACCAGCCTTCAGAGCCATCCTCACTAGTAAACAAAAAAAGAGGAGAGAGCCAAGAGCTTAACAATGTGGCAGCAACGGTTGCAAACCTCATCCA